CCTGGGAAAGCATTAGTTAAGACGGCAGATCCGGAAGCCTACACAACAATACTGCTGTTTGCTGACAGTCTCCGCTCTGCATCATGGCAAACACCTAAGCATCCAGAGTCCCGAGAAGTCTCTCACAGCTGAGGTTTCCATAAGCAACATAGAAACGCAATAGCTAGAAGCAAATAATTCTAAACTTTGCAATATGCATTTAATCTAGGAAGATTAAATGCACCTAAATTACAGTGTGTTTTCAAGCCATCCCTTGGAAGCACCCTGAAGCAAGCCCACCCTGAGTTTTCAGCTGTTTCTAATCCCATTTGAGAGATAAATCTGGAGTGTGTAGTTGGGAAAGTCTCTTCTGCCACTACTTTTAGACTGAACATTGAAGATTAGACAAGTGGTTTCGTTTTGCAGAGATGTTGAGCCAAAATCCACTGATTTAAATGGGCTGCAGTTTGAGCTCACTGTGGAACGCACCTAACAGAATTTTTGACAGACACCTGTTTGGAATTTGCTGGCGTTTGGAGCTTCCCCTAAAGCCACCCAAACCAAGGAAGAAACTTGCAACACAGTATTTCTTAGGAAGAACTAATTTTGAAATGGGCTACTTACAGGAACCCAGTACGACTAACAGATTTAGTTTGGTCTTATTTGCCTACAAAGACTCTATCCAGACTGACCTGCTGACTGTGTAGACAGGAGATCGGTAGGACTTGCACCGCTGGTTAATCAGCTACTGCGGGCAGATGCTGTTCCTGGGGATCAGTCGTGCAGGTGGCTATCAGGTTTGGCTCCGTTTGCCTCCGCCCGCTTAATGAAAACAGCCTGAATTAATTAAAAAAATAAAAGACAAGCTATCCCAGTTTGGGCTGGCTGAGGATCTGGCCCACAATATTCAAAATATATTTTGTGGGTGCTAGAAAACTGATTTTATTTTTGATTGAGACACAAGAAAACAATTCAAAAGAATCAGTTAATACTTACGTTTATTCTAGCAGCTCATCCATTAAGATCTCTTGCTATGTCTCTCAGCTTCAAGATTTCAATGATATGTCATGATAATAATCATTATATTTCACCAACTTTGGAAGAAATAACTTGTTAACATTTACTAACTGAACAGGGATACACCAGATTGCAATAAAATTTTCAGACACAGATTTTTTTCTTTACCTTCAAATATCAACAATGTTAGTCCTGTTTCAGCAAAGTCTGTTCCATGAACATATATTCTACTGAGGAAAATCTAAAAAAATGGATAAACTTTTGAAGATAAATATGCTGACACAAAATTCAGCATACAACATGAAGAACCCCATACTACCTAATTGTGCACAGGGTGATAATTTACCACTGATTAAAGAGTTTGTATTTTTTTCAAATCTTTTTTAAAGGGAAAATTACTTCTGAAGGTGAAGATGTGCTTAGACAATCATATTAACATATTCAAACAATTGCAATTTGCAAAATAGTAATTACAACTCACTATCTGGTAGCATTAATCAAACTTCAAGGTTTAATTCCATTTTAAATATTGATGAAATGTGATTCTCCAATCTAACCCTGGTGTTGCAGGGTTATGGAAGCAGCCAGTGACAGAAAAAGAGGAACGTGTAGTTAACAAGCAGCTGCCACAAAGAAGGATCGGCATCTGTGATTTAAATTGTTAGCTGCACAGTCAGGTAGAGTGTAAAAAGGGTAGTCAAGAGGCTGTTAAGTCCATTGCTGCCAATTACTAACAATCAGGGAGGAGCTTTAAGACTTGTTCAGTACAATAAACCCAGTTTGTCTTGTTTCAGGGGTTACTACTGAAGAGGTTGCAGCTGCACTGATTCAAATAGCCCTAAAACTACAGTAATTATCAACCAGTCTTCTTTAGTGTAGCAAAAGTATGTTTTACCATAGCTTAACTCTTTACATTCTAATATTTCCCTGCCTCTTCTCACATAGCTAGCCCTGGAGCCATTCTCATCTCTGGGTTTGTGGTTCTTCTCACTATGCTGAATCAATTCTTTCATTTCCCCTTACCCAGACCAAGGACCAGTAGTGCAGTGCGCCTGGGTTAGATGGCAGTTCCATGGATTTGCTTTAGGTTATTTTTTGGAACATCAAGTCTATATATTACATCTATTTTTCCTTCTCATAGACAAAGTTGAAATTCATATAGCTCATTCAGTTTTTGCATCTGATTAAACTACATGCAAATTAAGCAGTGCTTATGAACATGTGTTTAATTTGCATGGGATCAGATCACTGCATGAACTGAGACATTTTGGGACTGGTCCGGAGAGGCTAAAATCCTTAGAGCAACCTGCCTTGTGTGCTTTCCTAGGAGACCATGAAAACCCAGAGTGCGGAAGGAAACAATCTAGGCACACCAAGGATCTGTTGGAAACCTGAAAGCCAAGTCAGCATCTGCCTTTCTTAGTGCTTATAGCCTTGATGCTCAGCTAAGCGAGCGCTGTAGGTTTCTCACTAGGAAGACAGACTGATTATTTCTGGTACTCAGGTGAACCATGTATATCTGTGCACAAATACCAGCTAGATAGCGGTGATGTATAGCATGTGTCAGTTTTGTTTATTTCTTCACTATGGCAGAAATAGACAAAGTTTCATTTTCTTGCAATTATTACAAGCTCAGATAAACTATTTTTTTTTTTTTTTTAGTTAAGGCGATTCCAGCTAAAATCACAGAGCTACCCAGGCTGGACAATGTCTGTTATAGCCGAGGCTCACGTGATCCCGTCGTTACTGTGCTGGAACACCTAGTGCATAGAACAAAAGCCAGCACATTGATTATGGCTGTGATGTTGTTTTTAAGAAAGCTGAAAGACCACATTT